ACCCGTCAGCAAGGGAGAGGGGCAGGTTACGCTTTCAGAGCAGCACGGTTCTTGACAAGTCTCTCAGATTTTTCAGACCCTGTGGTCACAAACTCGCCAACGTGAACAGCTTGTACGTACAACACGGTGGTACAACTACCCCTTGTCAGTTCAGACTGGAGAACATTTTACCTTCCCAGGCAAAATGACCATTATTAGTTATTTCTATTTAGAAACTACTATGGTTAAAGAATGCAGGATGAAGCAGTGAAGGTTAGGATCGAGAAAGAACTGGGAAGGTGGGAAACCTGTAGCAAAACAACCACAATGGACAAAAGCTGGAGAAAAAACCAAGAGGCTTAACGTGGTGATTTTCTACTGTCCTACGGTGGTAGAACCTGGTTCAGCTGGGCAGCAGAACACGACACTTCCATACCGACAGATCAGAGCAGTACAGACGAGTTCCAAAAACACCTCCAAAAGAGACACTGTTATTCTCTACCTTCAAATTAATAGAAATCACGCACAATAGGGTTCTCTGCAGACTTCTCCTTTTGTCAATAAAATACTGACAGATCATAACCAACACCTTTTCCCCTCTAAGTGGAGGTGATAAAACGGGAGTTGAGTGACACTGAGTACGTGCCATTTAGGGCGAAATACAATCGCCTGCAGGCCATTACCTCAGACATGGGAACCACCAGCTCGGCAGCCAGAACTGGACTGAAGAGGTAATTCACAGGGAATCAGTTAGGATGGCTGGAGAACCTTAACTTTTAAAGAGATCTCCAGAGAGAATGGGTCAATCCAGCCTGGGGCCACAAACACCGGGAAGGTTTCACCACAATTGCATGGTTATGCTGTGAGATAATTTTAACATAAGGAATTTCTATCCCAATTTCATACTCTTCCTGGGAACTGAAAATAATCTAAGTATCGCTGAGCTATAGCCAGGACATTTCCAGTTGGTTTTGCTGCACTTAGGGAGCTGCACACTAGCTGTATAAATAACACTCCTTTGCCTGGCTCACTGTATTTAAAACCAAAATTCCAACACTTACTTGTGTAAAAAATCTTGTTCAGATCCCTGCTCCGACTCGTGCTCCTGGATCTGCTCTCCCATTTGTCTAGTGTTCTCTCTCAAGACGGTTGAGGTGAGCTGTGGTGCTTGCAGCGTCCCCGGAGTATGTATGTTTTCATTCCTGTTCAGCCACGAGCCTTCCAGGCTCTCATCTAGAAAAGGAACACGACGGTTAGGGATGCAGTTCTGGTAACAGGCGGTGCAGCGCCCTGGCCTTCGGGATTCCTTCAGCCAGGTCTTGGAAGCAGTACCTTGCCTTAGGCACCACCGCCTTCCACCTACTGACACACTCTGGCACAGTTACTGTGAGTCGCAGCGCCCTCTCCAAACCTGATTTTCAACACTTCAGTGTCTTGTTTTAAAGCAACAAGCGTGCCTTTACGAGATTAACCGGATACTCGATGAAATTTTCAGCTCTGGTTTTACTCTGTGTTCTCTTAAGGAAGGATTACTGCCAGCTACTCCCAGCAATAACAACCTAAAGTAGAAATATTTCACAAAACCCCAAAACCCCCCATTGTAACAGTAGCGCTGCCTGACCTGTCCTGTCTCGCACACATACAACAGTAATTCCCAGTTCCCGAGTTTACAGTCTGAATGGGAGACTGCTATTCTCCGTCGCACGCGGCAGCCGAGATTCAGTCACACACCAAGACGTGGGTGGAGGATAAAGGCACAAATCTGGTCAGCACACACTTCAGAACCTCCAGGAAGAACCATCCCCTCGGAGGACAGAGGGGGCACTTAAATGACAAGACGGGCTCTGGCTGGCGTGAACCCACAACGGTGATTTCGGACAGTGCACTGAGAGTTCGGAGCAGGAGGGAGGAATGGAGGTGGGAAGGCACTGGAGGGGTAAGTGGATGCTGGGCTCATGTTGTGAGAGGAAGGAAGAGGGGGGACTCGAGGAGGATGTGACAGAGCAGACGAGTGTGTAGGCAAGAGACAGGCAGCAAAGGAATGTAAGTTGGTGGAGGAAGTGAAAGACGGGGAGATGATGAGAGGAAAAGACAAGATTGCAGATGTACTAACAGGAGGAAATGTCTGGTGAGGAAGTAGAGGGGGATCTCAATGGATCTTTTCATTGTTCCTACTCGTTTTATTACCCTTTGCGCATAAATGTTGCCTATTTATTTTTGAATTTACCTTTGAAGCTTTTATCAAGCTGGATTGTTTTTAAAATCCTATTTATGTCTGATTTCCTTAAGGCATTTTGAAGAAATGTCACACAGCAGATT